TGGGGACCCATAGCCTCGGAGAAGAAAATAAAAAGTATTCAGAGGAGACCGTGTGGTTTCTCACTGAACACTAATATTATCTTCTCCTACCACCCCCATTCTTTTGTATGTACACATATATATTTACTTTATTTGAACTTTGTTACAAAAAAGGAGTTACATATGGGTTACAAAGATGGTTATCATAGGTTGTCGAGTTCCTCCAGCTCCTCAGATGGCGGGCAGGAACCCTGGATGCAGTGCGCATTTCCCCTCTATATATATATATATTTTTTTTTCCGCATAAAATGATCAGTGTTTTGTGATCGTCAATTGCATATATATATATATATATATATATATATATATATATATATATATATATATATATATATATATATATATATATATATATATATATATACTGCTAGATGAACAAGCGCATCAGGGTGAAAAAACTCTGACCTCTGAACTACGAATCCCGAGCGCTGTCCACTCAGCCGTCAAGTCCCTTACCTCGGCACAAATTTCGGTACAGGTAACTGCCGATCCGTTCGAGGCCTGGTGCCCGAGCAGGCTGACAGACTTTCCTTGTTATTCTTAAGTTATTTCCCCCCTTGAACCGTGCTGGTGCGGCCGTTATAAATTCCGCCCGGCTGGGGCCGGCGCCGGAACACGGGAGACCCGTCTTCGAATCCCGGGAAGGAAGTGGAAAAAAAAGAGTAAATTTCAAGAATGTCAACCGGTTTCTTTTGATCCGTTACTTAAGACGAACATCCCCAAGTGTGGCCCTTATGAAGGTCCAGGCTCAGTAGCTCCTTATAGGAGAGTTTTCAGTAGATTACATTCGGTATTATTATTACTGTGAATTATTATTTGTTACTTCTTAGTTATGTTATTTTGAAAAGATTTTTTATGTATAAATCGTAGCGAAATTTGAGTTTGGTGGAGGTGCTGCTGTCTGCTGTCATAACTCTACACGCAGACGGTGAGCAGGTCAAGTCCCTTCGACCTGACCGGTTTTAGACAATGGACGAAGTCATGCGAATAAATTATCAATATTTTCAGAAGAGTTGTCACCATCGACGACCTGCTGCTTCAACCAGGTAAGACATGTAACATGATCCCACACCAGACGCTAAGAGTATTGCAAATATTCTTAGATATCGTAGAATTGATATCTTAGAATACCACGTTAATTGTTCTACCCATCTGCCAGGTTCGTCACTTGACCGAGATGACAGGTAATGAAGGTGTGTCCCAGTCTATCACCCAACAGGGTATCTTTTTTCATATATACACAGATCTATCAATTTCGCGGCTGCCAGGTGATGAGTGAGGCTGACCTTCATCTGTCAAGTTATCATGCCTTGAGGTGTTGATGTAACACTGTAAAAGTGTTTGGTTTAGTTTAATACATACATAGAGTACATGAGTCACAGACAAGGATCTGAGAGGCGCCAGTTTGTCGGCCTGAAACTCACACCTCTAAGCGTTAATGACCCCAAGTGACCTGAGGTCAGATCATGCGAATTTCACCTTGCTTCTGATAATCTGATAATTGTAGCCTGGTAGCCTTCAAACATGCCGACATTAAGGAGTGGCTTGGTAGAGAGCCGGAGGCTATCTACTTGTGGGCGGAGTTAGCTACTAGGTTTCCCAATATATACTCGGAGAGCTATCGATTCGAGAGCATTGAGCATTAAGAGAAGAACGGCAGTCAGCAGAGCAGAGAAGACAGCCCTAGCAGGGAGGCTGTCCCGTTACATAGATATGCTCGTTTAGAACAACTGTAGATGACTCTGTAAATGATGAATTATTAGTAGATGAGGTTTTGACTGTAAAGGCGTTATCATCACTAAGACAAGTGCTTACATAGTAGGAGAGATTGGGAAGGGGGGGGGAAGGGAAGTAGAAGTGAGGTAAAGGAAGAGAAGGAGAGGTGAGGTAAGAGAGAGACACACGCCAGGGATTATGTTTGCCTCTAGTTTACCTGTGACTGATTTTAAGAGTTCTAATTCCGCGCCTAGGCCCTACGAAAAGCTTTCCTGGTGATGACTTGATCGGTAAGGCTGTTTCTGGCAGCGGCCCGTAGAGTCACATAGCGATGACAATCGGCCTAATTCCCTCTCGAAAACTTGAACTTTTGTTTCGAAAATATGTGTCTATGTCTGTGTGTGTGTGTGTGTGTGTGTGTGTGTGTGTGTGTGTGTGTGTGTGTGTGTGTGTACTAACTTAGTTGTGCTTGGGAGGGTTGAGCTCTGGCTCTTTGGTCCCGCTTCTCAACTGTCAATCAACTGGTGTACAGGTTCCTGAGCCTACTGGGCTCTATCATATCTACACTTGAAACTGTGTATGGAGTCAGCCTCCACCACATCACTGCCTAATGCATTCCATTTGTCAACTGCTCTGACACTAAAAAAGTTCAGCGTGTGCGTGCGTATGCGTGTGCACACCTGGGGTTCCACCTGCAGATCAGAAGTGACTGAGTCACCCCAGAACCATAAAAGCTGACCTAGTCATATGACTCATCAGCTGACTCGATCAACACGCTGACAACAGTGTCAAGAAATAATCTCCAGCAACAGTTGCCTGCAAGCTATCTCAGCTACAGATCTGTGATTAACACATAGTTCATTAAATCTCAGACGTAGGCCTATAGCTTTGGGCCTCAGTAGGCTATACAGCAGCGAGGATAGTGCCTGATGGCGGCGAGTGATTACAGGTGTTCTCAGAACACTAATCTAGTGACACAGCGGAACACAAATTCAGAAACAGAGCACAAGACGTACTTTACGAAGCAGGGGCAACATTGACCCCGTGCTTCACGGAACAACACAAGTGTTCCGTGATGCAGGAACACGGAACACTGATGCAGGAACACGAAACACTGATGCAGGAACACGGAACACTGATGCAGGAACACGGAACACTGATGCAGGAACACGGAACACTGATGCAGGAACACGGAACACTGATGCAGGAACACGGAACACTGATGCAGGAACACGGAACACTGATGCAGGAACACGGAACACTGATGCAGGAACACGGAACACTGATGCAGGAACACGGAACACTGATGCAGGAACACGGAACACTGATGCAGGAACACGGAACACTGATGCAGGAACACGGAACACTGATGCAGGAACACGGAACACTGATGCAGGAACACGGAACACTGATGCAGGAACACGGAACACTGATGCAGGAACACGGAACACTGATGCAGGAACACGGAACACTGATGCAGGAACACGGAACACTGATGCAGGAACACGGAACACTTA